GTCCCCCAGTCCCTGCCCTGGTCCCTGCCCTGTCCCTGGGTCTCTGCGACGTCCCCACTCCCTACCCTGTTCCGCAGTCCCTCCCCTATCCCCGGATCCCTGTTATGTCCCTGGCTCCCTGTCCCCAAGTCCCTGTCGTGTCCCCCAGGCCCTGCCCTGTGCCCAGGAGTCCCTGTCGTGTCCCCGCGCGGCATCCCCACTGCCTGCCGTGTCCCCCGGGTCCCTGCCCTGTCCCCCGGGTCCCTGTCGTGTCCCTGGGTCCCTGTCGTGTCCCCCAGTCCCTGCCCTGAGGTCCCTGCCGTGTCCCCCGGGTCCCTGCCGTGTCCCCGGGTCCCTGCCCTGTCCCCCGGGTCCCTGCCCTGTCCCCCGGGTCCCTGCCGTGTCCCTGGGTCCCTGTCGTGTCCCCCAGTCCCTGCCCCCGGGTCCCTGTCGTGTCCCCCGGGTCCCTGTCGTGTCCCCCGGGTCCCTGTCGTGTCCCCCGGGTCCCTGCCCTGTGCCCAGGAGTCCCTGTCGTGTCCCCGGGTCCCTGTCGTGTCCCCGGGTCCCTGCCGTGTCCCCAGGTCCCTGCCGTGTCCCCAGGTCCCTGCCGTGTCCCCCGGGTCCCTGCCGTGTCCCCGCTCCCTGCCGTGTCCCCGCTCCCTGCCCTGTCCCGCAGTGCGGCCGCGCAGGGAGGGGTTTGTTTGCGCAGCGGGCGCAGCGCGGCTCCCGCCCGCGCGGGGAGCGGCCGCCCGTGCCCCGCCGTGGGGCAGAGCCCCGCCGTGCCCCGCCGCGGCTGACGGGGCGCCGGGGGGCGCAGCCCCGGCCATGTCGTTCCGCAAGGTGGTGCGGCAGAGCAAGTTCCGGCACGTGTTCGGGCAGCCCGTGAAGACGGAGCAGTGCTACGATGACATCCGCGTGTCGCGCGTCACCTGGGACAGCACCTTCTGCGCCGTCAACCCGGCCTTCGTGGCCATCATCGTGGAGGCGAGCGGCGGCGGCGCCTTCCTCGTGCTGCCCCTGCACAAGGTACCGGCCGCTGAGCACGGCGCCGCTCGTGACACCGGCGAGGGCGGCCGCCCGCGCTTGGGGCGCTGCCTCCACGCGCCGCTCTGTCCCCCAGACGGGGCGCATCGACAAGTCCTACCCCACGGTGTGCGGGCACACGGGCCCCGTCCTCGACATCGACTGGTGCCCCCACAACGACCACGTCATCGCCAGCGGCTCGGAGGACTGCACCGTCATGGTGAGGGGCGCGCGGGGCGCGCGGCGGCCGC